TTCTGTTATTTGATATCAGCACATGTGTAGTATACTCGTATATTAAATATGTGAAAGTTTGTATGCCCGGTATAGTTTGTTTTTAACTAGTTTTAATTGGCCTGCGATATATCAAAGTTTCTACAAATTGTCTGCAGGTTAAAATATTTTCCACACAATCGGATAATTATTAATAACTAGGAATTCTACAGTACGATTATTATAATACTATTCTGATACAAGATACCATATAATTGGCTTCTAGAGTATAAAGTGGACAATAAAAATTTAAATACTTTAGTGAACTAATAACTCTATTTTATATTATAAATACTAAGTATAAATTTTATATTTATACTCTATTCTACAAAAGTTAGGATAATTTACAAGTTAGTAGATTATTATTACTAATTACGCATCAGTAAGACACTTGATTAAAAAAATATTACTAATCGTAAGTTAATATAAACAAGGCTGTAATATAATTCAATTAATGCTCTATTGGTCGTCACAACTCAACATTCATTTAATTGTTCCTAAAATTTTGTTTAGTAATTTATTATTATAGCTTTGTGTCTCTGGCACGTTCCTAACTCAAATTTTTGTTTTATAAATTTTATTTTTTAGTAAGGTTTCTCATCTAATGCTATTAGAAATTATACCTATGTAGCATGAAACTTCGGATGCAAACAGGATTTTTGCAATTGCTTATGAGGAAAAATTGAATTCTTGATTTTTACAAGCCATAAAGTACAATGCGCCACCGGATTTCTAATGTAGTTTCAAATCCTTTTAAAATGTTATTAACTTCCCGTATGGTAAGTTATAGTAATTGTCCAGAAATCGAAAGTGAAAATGTTTGCTTATCTTTTATCGTTGGCATATCTTAAAGAAAATGATGTATGTGTGTGTTCGTCCACGCTTACGGGCGCACGGATCAACCGATTTTGAATGATTAAAAAATCATTCGATTTCTATTGATAGGGAGACGTACTGGGAGACGTTCTTGGCAATGACAGGTCCAGTCGTTTCGGAGATACGTAAAATTTCAAAAAAAAAAATCGAAGAAATTTGTTTATCGGATTATAATTTTAATTCTAAATCTCACTTTGTATACTTGAAATAAATAATATTAACTTTGTAATTTATTTTATAAATATGAGATACGGTCCTTCATTTTAACTTGGCTTGATCAAGTTTTGTTTATTTTTTATATATAAATGTATGGTCCGGTGACCATACGTCCCGGATTGGCCGGAACAATCCCGGATTTTCCACCTTGTGTCCCGGGTTATTTTAAAAGCACGATTTGTACCGAATATAGATCTTTTGTCCCGGATTGTCCCGGTTTTTCAAAAATTAACAGATGAACTAACAAAAATTATGAAAACAAACAAACAAGTGTTAATTTTTTCAAAATATTTATGAATAAAATTGAATAGAATATTATACAAGGCTCAAATGCGCGAAAAACATATACATCCATATAAGATATAATATCATAGATGAACAAGTATGACATATAATCGAGTAATAAAGTTCTTACTAAAAGTCCACAATTATAAAAAAAAGATTTATAAACAAAAACCTCTTATTATATACCCTCCGTCCCGGATTAGCATTACTAAAAATTGCCGTTCCGGTTTTGACTTAAAAAAATATGGTCACCTTAATAAATGTTGTCGTCCATTTTATAGGCTCTATTTTCTGTCTATAAAATACGAATAATAAAAGTTAGAGTATTTACAAAATCAATTTGAAAACATTCAAAATTTCTCGATTATTTTATTACTGTACGGGAAGTTTCTGCAATTTGCCTTAAGGCACGATGCCATGCATCACTTTGTGATCCATTTGATCGATTTCATGGTGGAATTCATAGCCACCAAAATATAATGATTCACATCTGGGGTCCCTAAAGGTGTTCTAAACGATCGATAATACTTTGTCGGATTTGCGAGACAAAAATTGATCCGAGTTCTTGAAATCCTAATCTGTGTGATCGGTGACGTTAACGATTCATTTAGGCTGCGACTTCGGATGCAAACAGCTTTGTCGCGATTGTTCGTGAGAACATTATCTGGTCGAGAAGAGCAAAGCGAATCCTTGACCATAGTACTTGTAGCTGGAAAGAACAGGTTTTTGCACGGAGCTGAAGTTGCCATCGATTGGGACCACTAATGCAAACTCGAACCGGAGACGATTATAGAAGACCGGATGCGAACTCGTCCGGCGATGCTCTCGCGACTCGAGGTATTACCGACTCCTCGTTGATAATGAATAGACACTATTTTTACATCAAACACTTATTGTTTTGCTTCAATTCAGAACCAGTTCTGCTCTCCTCGGCACCCTCCTTGGTTCAACTCGACAATTGCCTTTTTATTTGGGATTTCCTCTCAATTCGGCGATGTTAGGCATACATTTGTACTAATCCGTCTCTTTATTAAACCGGTTGCGTCTAATCATAAAATTCATATTTACATTTATTACAACTTTATTTAGAATTTATATTCGATTACGCATAATATTAAGGTGACCGTATTTTTTAAAGTCAAAACCTGGACGGTAATTATTAGTAATGCTAAACCGGGACTGCTGCGGGGGGGGTGTTATGATAAAGAACCTAAATATGATTTTAATATATCAAATACTCGCGAAGGATGCAAAAATATCAGTAAAATCAATTAATTTTTAATGATTTAGTATTTTAATCAGATTTACTGACTTTTTGCAAGGGTTTTTTATTAGATTATATATTACATTGATAGTCACCCAAATTCACTAGCGAACTCCCTAATAACAGAGAATAGAGAATCGACGAAGGTTAAAAAGAAAAGCACTACTGGATTTAAGTCATTATTTTTTCTGATAAAGATTGAAATAACTTAGTCATTATTTATAAGAAATTATTTATAAGTAGATAGTTAAGATTATATCATTATCAATAAATTATTGTTAATATTATAACGAATGGGAAAACAACCATTGACTTGTTTTTCCAACATGCCCATTTAGTATACAGTTTCCCTTCGAGGCTGACAATTGTAAATTCCCCAAAATTATTAAATGTCCTTAACTGGACAGTTGTAAATAATATAGAGAATTAAAAAAATCTTATATTTTAGCATTTTTGATGTTTTTCTAAATTTCTGTTCAATTTTCTTCATAAAAATAAAGAAATGCAAAATTAGCATTATGAGTACTGTTAATTTTCGTAAAATTGAAAATTAAAGTTCAAAATTATAACGGTAAGAAGCTATTGAACCCACCTGTTAAATTTTGTATTCCACAATTTTCTCATTCATGGCGTATTCTTTCATAAAACCATATTATATGTAACATTTTTATATATTTGATTGGTAGTTGTAATTTCATTATCAAGTGAATTGCTAAGCTCTAATTTAAACCTATACATTTCAAAAACCCAGAACAATAGAATGAAATCCCTTCTAGAAATCCGAAACCGTCCCGGCTAAAACGGAACGTATGGTCACCTTAATGTACAAATCAAGCTTGTCGTACTAAATTATCTAAAAAGCATATAATTTTATACAATAATTATAGATAGAAGAAGTATAAATAGGTCGCAAAAGCGCTTTGCTATTACTTTAATTTTAATTTATTCCGTACCCCATAGAAGCGCCACCACGTAATACGTAATTCACACATAGGTTTAATTTCAGATAATATTTATGTAAGTATATCGAGTAGAAAAGATAAATCTGATTATTTTGAATAAATTAAATGAGAACATACACGTATGAAATGCATTTTCAACTAAATTACAAATAATATTTATACATCTATAATGAAAAAAATTAAACGCTTGAATTGAGTGTATTATAAAAAGAGAACCAGTTCTTCAAAAAGAGATATACTTGTATCATAATTAGATAATCAGTTCTTCAAAAAGAGTGAAGAAATTGAACTCAAAAGACACTCATTAAATGAATAGTTAATCTCATTTGTTCTAAGTTTACCCTTCATGACCATAACCTTCCACAAAATATCAAGTATTAAAGATTACTATCATGTATGTTTTTATGGTTATTGGGCTTGCTTGTAAGTAAGTGGGTAGAACGACTGGACCTGAATTAGAGGTCCCGAGTTCGATCCCACTTCGAGCAGCCTGATGTCGGTAGTGACATTGGTTTTTGCTTGGAAGAATGGACAGCATTACGTTTCCAAGTGAAAATAGCTTTTACCCGGCATTGCTGCATCATAATAAAATTCATGACATAAAGGTGGGACGACTGTTTGGGTTGTCATCAATAAAACCGAAGTAGTATTAGGTCAAATTAGCATAACCGCTTATAGGACATAAGTTCTGATTGCTGTTCAAGTAATGATAATAAAAATAGGTTAATTATGTTATGTTATTATTTTAAGATATTATGTTATTATGTTAAGATATTATGTTAATGATGTTCATAAAATTGCGAATATTTTTAGTAGTAGACATAAATCTACTATACTTGTAATACATTATTACAAATATATATATATATATATATACGTATATATATATATATATATATATATATATATATATATATATATATTGTTGTAGCATTAATTGTTGTAGAAGTATTTAAAAATCGAGTAATACAAATAGATACACTATTTCCTGGCACTTTTCTAGCTTCGACATTTTACAAATAATATATTCTTTTTGAATTAAATACATTTATTTTCTTGTTCGTAAAATAACAAATCGCAAATTTCGTACTAGGGAAGTGACAAATTTTATTGCAAGATGATATAAACAATATGCATTGAGAAGCTCGTCAAATCAAATACTAATTTCTTGAAAAAAGGATATCACGTTTTTCGACTAATGAAATTGATATTGACTAATGCGTTAAATTGAAGATGACCAAAGATGACATAATCGCGTAGCCCGAACTCATCATGCATATTTGTATCGTGGAAGATATTTGTGTTATTTCTCTCAAACGCCATGTGAAGATAAATTTCTGTTTTTTCTCAGTAAATTTATTATTTTTTATTTTTGTTAGCTGTATTTGGCGCTACCAATGGCCAGCAGCAGAACTTCCGAGTGCTTCCACGTGACATGCAGGTGCTCGAAGGAGGCGAAGCTCTGCTTCGTTGTGAAGTCTCAAACCTTCAAGGAAAAGTGCAGTGGACGAAAGACGGATTTGCTCTTGGTAAGTCTAATTATAGAAATGGCTATATAATTTGAATGCAACTTAACTTTAAATGTGTTTGACTCTAGTAAGTCAATCTAATAAATGTAAAATCTGTTAAACGGGACCGTAGTTGTTTTCCCATGAGGCATGCGATGAGATTGATTTAATATAATGAATATAGTTTTGACAAGGATACTGCAATTTCGATATTGAATTACATATAACATTAACCAAATTAATTTAGAACTATCTCATGCATCCATTTTCTCTTGAAACTTGCTCGTGTTTTCCGATTTGCATTTTCAATGAATTTTAAAACTGAAATTCTGACGATGAAGATGTAAAACTCTCGATTACGCGTCTGTATTGCTCTCGTCTGTTAATTTATTACAGATTTTATTGTTCTGAATAAATTAGAATGTGAAAAAATCAAATTGAATATTTATATTTCAGAGCGTGAGAACTAAATGATTCTTTTATAGACTGCTGGAAGAACTACATTTGAATTTAATTATGTTTATCTTAGATTTTTATTGAAATTATAATTTTTAGTGTAGCGAGAAGGTTGGGAATCAACAATATTACATAATTCTCACAAAAATAATAATTGCATGAATTATTTAAATGTTTAGGCAGATTTGTATAATTCACTCTTGGTTTAGGTAATCTTTACCTTATAAATATGACATATAAATTTTGCGATAAAATTTGGGGTTTTAAGCCAACGTGTTAAAATTAGTTCTGTATTGCATATAATTTAATTATAGTGTACTTTATTGTTACTTCTAAATCCAAAATCCAAATTTAGTCTCAAACGATTCGGAATGACTTGAAATGTTGAGAAAACATAAAATTAGCAAATAGAACTTTCTGACAAAAATATAAACTCCACCAGAAAGTTAAAATTGAATTAATTTCATGCAGCTATTTAATAATTATTTAATAGTGTTATTATTTGTTTATATTTTCGTTTAATTGTTTATTTATATTTAAAGCATTTTTTGTTATCTATCCACAATTTAAATTTTTGGATTAGTTTTGAATTAAGGCGATTATTAATTGCGCGATATATAAAATGCTTGGTTTATTTTAAGTAAAGACGGTTTAAAATTTGATTTATTGATGTATGCCTTTTGATTTTAAATTTTATTTAAACAAAATATATATCGATAGATTCGGAAAAGGAAAAATTATTCCTATATGTTATTCAGAAATAAATTTCGTTAATACGAAACGATTTTTTAATTTTTTTATTTTGTGAAACAGAATATAGTAATAATAAGCAGTTGAAAAACTATTACTTTCACGAAACTGAAGGATTTATAATATATTATAATGATCATTTAAGTTGATCTACTTTTGATCTATTAATAATATATAATTTTTTTGGTATTAAAACGCGAAGTTTGACATTAATAATTTCTTCAAGTTCTATCAATCATTCTATAATTATACATTAGCAACGTTTATTTAAATCTTCAAAGATCTTTAAACAAAAAAATAATTCGAATAAGTTGACCGGATGTCCGTTATAAAGGTATAAATTTAAAAACGATGAAATGAGACCGGAAGATAAATTTAACAAAAACTAGATGTAAGTAGTATTTTCTATAAATTTGACAAAAACTTAATGTAAGTGGCATTTTCTTGAAAGGTACTTGCATCTTCCCTTTATTTGTAAATAATCGATTTTATCAATTAAAATTTAATTTGTATATACAAACATGTTCTTCTTTTTACCTGCCCATTTACCTACATGTATACCAGTCTACATGTCTATCTGTCTACATGTATGTCTTTCCATCTATCTACCTTTCTATTTTTTATATGTCTACCTTTGACACAGGGTATTCGCATACTTCTCTATCTGTCTACTTTTGTACCCGTCCACTTGTCTACCAAAACTGAATTGTCATTTTTTGCAATTTTTGCTCCGTATCTCCGAAACGGCTGAACCTGTCTTTGCCAAAAACTAATTACTACGTCTTGCGTCAATTCTTTATAGTAACCAGAAAAGAGACTGAAAATAGTTGAACATTCTGAGCCAGTATTAAAAATTCAAGAACTGTTTAAAGATGTAAAGATATTAGATGAGATTCGAGCAGATTAGTTTTTGATAAAAATCAGTCGGGCCGTTTCTTCGTAATTAATTTGTGAACTATAAAATCATTTTTTTTCTCTAGACGGATGGAACATTTTATGATGAGATCATGGTCTTAAAAAACTTACTATAATAATATGGGCATACGACAAGTGGTTTGTTTAATTAATATATTTCGAAAATTTATCAAAGTTGAAATAATGTTTTTAGGACATACAAGCGCGGGTTTGTGTGCTACAAATAATATAATTATAGTGCACTTATATTATGAGATGCAATTGGAAATTTAGTTGAAGCGAAAACTTTCTTTTTAAAATAAACAGTTGAAAATTTTGTTTAAATAGATGAATCTCACTTCTCATTGATTATCTTAAGCGGAATGCTACTTACACCCTTTTGAAATTTTAACTCGAGCAGTAGGATAATATTGACCCAATATACTAATTGTATGTAAATTGAAAACATATAACTGAATGTTATATATAAATAAGGAACCTTCATTGAATAAATGCAAATACCGTGGTCTTTTTTGTATCGTTACGAATATCGTTTAAGGTTCAGAGTTCATTAATTTAGTGATCAATTTTATGCGATTCCTCTGGTGCACTTGACTGTTGGCTGTTCTTAAGTAGTTTTTTCAATCGGTCGATAAAATTCTCTTTAAATATTAATTTATTATTCTGATGAATAGGTTTCATTGAAGAAGGGACCCAGTACAGTGGTACTCCGGATGTTGCATTAGAAACCAGTTTAAGAGCAAACCGTGTGTACAGTCATTGAACCGATTATTCTTAAAGACGACTTGAAATTGATGCGTTTTTTTTCATTTTCTAGACTTTCTTGGAGATAAATAGCAAAAAATAACAGTGTTGACGGTTCCGTACTGATATGTTTAATTTGACGATACATGTATCAAAACATAGTTTAACTAGTGATTCATGATATCGTGCCTTAAGGCAAATTGCTGAAACTTTCTGTATCGTAAAAATATTTTGACATCTTTGAAAAAATTAGATCTTTGAGAATTTTGAAATTATTGGAAAAACTCGACATTTTTGAATAATGTTATTTTTCTTAATATTTTGAATTTTTTTGAAAATTTATTCTAAAGCTAGCGCGCTGCTTAACTGTTTTAGAGACGAAATATCGAAGCGCGTAAGCGCCGCGTTGCAGCCTAACGGATAAACATTGATTTAGAACCCCTAGAAATGTAAACAAAATTTGTGTTTATTATTAAAGTCTTTATAAAATATATGATAAGGTGATGTGCATAAGTCTAATGATTATTTTTGACTTTTTTATAACTTTTTTGTTATTGGATCACCAAAAACCGTTGGACCCTTTTTTCTAAAAATTCAGCCCATTCGTCAATATGTCAATACAAGCGATACGTTTTTTAAATCATTCAAATCGGACGGTCCGTACCTTTACCCCATATCTTGAAAACGACTGGACCTGCCTTTGTCAAAAACTATCAGCACGTCTCCTCATCAATAGTAATCAAATGTATTTTGAATCACTCAAATCAGACGCTCCATTCTTTAAAAATTGCCATTATTTGCACTTTCATTTCCCCTTTTCAATAGCAATTGAATATTTTTTGAATTATTGCATTCGGTCGATCCGTGCTCTCATAATAGTGGACGAAAAATTGTATCCAAACATACACCCGTATATACTACATACACACACATACATCATTTTTTTCTAATTTTAGGAAACTTTTTTTTTATTTATTTGACTTTGTTATATCACATTTGGTCATATACAAACATACTTAATATCATGTATATTAAGGAATTACATTAGGAATAAATACATAACATTTTATCACTAAATTAAAATTATATAACTATTTTAGATTTTATAATAAATTCGTATAATATTTTATAATTTCTTTCATTTTTTATTAAGCAATTCCATGCAATTGATTTTGTAATACTTTTGTCGTCATAATATTTGTCCATCAATTCTTATCGTTTTATAAATCTAAATGTTATATAATCTGTTATAAAATCTGGTATAAATTTTTCGCCATATCCTCTTCTACATGTCTTTTACTTAAATTTATTTTTAAACTTAAAGATATATGTATAAAAAATTTCATTTTCGATTTTTTGCGATTACTATAACTTACCTTACGAATATTGATGAATTGTTTTTGCATTATTAATTTAATTTATTCAGCATATTGGTGGCGTTCTCATGCTGTGTGCATACTATAGACCTGCCTTCGGATATATTACTAATATTAATAATATTGATAACATGCAAATGTGAATGCGAATTTTTGCCTTTGCGTGCGAGGTAAGAATATAACACTTATTGACCTGGATACTATTAACGGCTCATTGGTCACATAATTCCTCGTTTACTTAGCTTATGGTAATTAAATGTCGTCTTGAATTAGTGATTATGTCCAAGTGATAGCGATTTTGTTAAATGTCATATAAGAATGAACGCTATTATAAAAACTTACTTTCCGAACAACTACTTGTTGAACTATTCTCAAATGGGCGATTTATTACAAGAGAATACAATTAATCTAAAAAAAACGATTTTATTGACTGGTCATTGATATTTTATGGGTGTTTTATATATATGTTGCAAGATGATGAAACAATTTATCAAACATAGATTTTTTGCAAATTACGTTAAAGCGGCTAGTATTCGTTTCAATTTACATATTATATAAATGAATTATTTATTTTTATTTATTATATAAATAAATATTATATAAATAAATATTAGAAATAAATAAATAAATGCTAAGCAAGTCGATTTTTCATCATCAATGTGTGTAATTTTCAATTCACAAGTATTGCCATTTTATTTATTTTTATATTAGTAATATTATAGTTTCTGTAATTTCTAATCTTACGTAAATTTCAATTTATTTTAAAATTTTTGTCACAAT